TGTCGAGTTTGAGGTTGGAGATTATGTTTGGGCTGTGTTAACTAAGGAGCGTTTTACGGCTCATGAGTACAATAAGCTTGCCGCTCGGAAGATTGATCCTGTGGAGATTGTTGAGAAAATTAATCCAAATGCATACCGTCTTCGCCTTCCGTCGCATGTTCGCACTTCCGACGTCTTCAATGTCAAGCATCTTGTGCCTTACCTTGGGGACAATTCGGACGACGAGATCCATTCGGATTCGAGGGCGAATCCTCCTCAACCGGGGGAGAATGATGGCGACGAGATCGCATTGGCATATTTATCACACTACGATCGGCTAAGGGTCTAGAAGATATTTATCGCATTTAGTATCTATTTTCCTTCTTTATTGGTTGTCTTATATTATTAGTTGTCTTTTATTTATTAGGAGAGTTATTATTATTTTTATATTTTATTTTAGGAAAATAAGGATAGGAGCCTATATATTGTGGGTTTCTTTGTTTTGGAAGACTTGGTTTTTATCGATGAAATAAAATTATCCTTTGAAGTTCTTCTTCTTGTTCCCATCGTACGCTTCAATCTACGTCACTTTAGATATTTGGTGCTTGTATTTGGGCAAAATTTAAAAAATGATACGCCAAGTTATGCGTTGTCAACAAACGACTCTCACGGAAAATGAACATATAGTTGACAATTTGGTCGAAAAAAGATACATTAATCACCCTATTATGATAAAATGCCGACTTTTAGTCAGATTGAGTAATGATGTGGCGTTTAAACTGTCAGTAATTTTGTACTTGGTACTTCTTGGATGCAAATATCGACTGAGGGGTTAAATTTGGAGGGAAATCATGAAATCATTCCCCGATCCCTATTTTATTTCAGTCGGGCGAAAAACACTAGAATTTTTCCAACATCATTTTCGACCTCAATCACTCACATAATGAGGAAAAACAAACCTAGATTACCTTCTAGCTTAATCAGTCACATAATTTTCGAGCTCAATCAACCAACCACTCTCTAATGAAGAAAAAGCATGTTCGAAATTTGGATCCATTTTAAAGGTAGAACGAGGCCTTCATGTTCCCGACTGCGAGATTCGAATACGCCCTAGTGACAAAGATTACTTTTCAGCTCCGGCATACAATATGTTAAATAATGTTTTTCTTTTTCTTCTTCCAATGACTTACATTTTATGTTTTTTTTTTCTAAAAAAAAAGTCAGTGTTTGGCAAGAACATGGTTGTGTTTGGAATCTTGGACCACTTTTATTGCATTTCATGTATTGTTTAATTTTAAAGTCTACAATATTGTCCTGGATGATTTTTCATTGCATTTTTTATTTATTGTTGTTGCATGTACAACTAGTAAATTCTTCACAGTTACCCTAAAATTTGGGGTGACTTTTGATATAAGGACAAAACATTCTAGATATCTAGGTGGAATAGAATATTGTTGACTATGTGGATTATTAAATGGTCACATCTAGGTGGAATAGAATATTGTTGACTATGTGGATTATTAAATGGTCACACTTGCTGATGTAGCACCCTCTAATTTTTAATTTTACTACTACAAATTCTGAGTTATTGGCACACTTCAAATAATTTCTCAAAACTATTCAAAAGAGGGCACCACAAAAGTATTTTGTGGAATGTTCTCCAATGTTCTGGAATGTTCCACATGGTTCCGAGACGTTCTCTGTTATTCCAGTTCGTTCTTCATGCTTCCGGAACCTTCCACAGGCTCTAGAATGTTCTGGAACGTTCCACACGCTTCTGGACAGTTTTTCGCACCTCTGGGACACTCTTCACATTTCCAGAATGCTCTCCACGCACCCGGAATGTTTCCAACACTTACCGAATGCTCCCAACGCATCCAGAGGACACCTACGCGCATTCGGGCCGACGAGTGCTTACAATTGCACAGTATCTCTAAAGATGGGGACGAGTGCACCTTATTTGAAAATTCATTTCAATATTTATTCACCATCAAATATCACGAAGGAGGCCAAAATGAAACAACACGAAAAAAAAATAAAATTAGGAATATACGTAAAAACGCCACAATATCAGTATTATCCTTCTCCATCCACAGGGAAGAACTCACTTCCCATTCGATAGCAACAACCCGAGAGAGAGTTCGGGTTAACACCCCATTTATTTCTAATTTCTAAATGAAAAAAAAAAGGTATAATAAAAGGAAATGCAAATTGTATTTACTCAATTTAATTGGAAACCATGCTATCAGTTTCCTGCACAAAGCCATCCCCAGTCCAGTCCTTATCTGATTGCAGACCTTTTTTGACGGCTTTCCTCTCGCGAATCGCCTCTTGCTGCCTTCTAACTAAATCCGTGTGGGTCGTGAAATAATCGAGTGAAACCCTGTTCATAATATGCACGAGTAAGAGGAAAAAAATGTTACGATTGAACCATACAAAAATGCTTGTTTTTTTAGCAGCAATCTAGCTAGATGGCGAAAGGGAAAAAAAAAAGTTTTAAGTGAATGTATATATTATATTTATTACCCCCTGAAATCTTCTATGGACGAAAAATTGTGCTTTTTCATGAAAACCTGTAGCTCGGAGCAAAGCTTCTTCACGAGGCCGTATCCATGCAACATAACGCCAGTGCATACCTGGAAAATTAGACTCTTAGTAGATGTTTACTTTGTTAATTGCAAAATTACCCCTGAGATTTAGGTGTCCAAAAAAGGATCCACACAGGTTTCTAACTCGTCAAATTCGCCGGAAATATCCATATCTACACTGAACTTCTTCAAATAACTCTCAATTTTAAAAATAACAAAATTGTCATGTCGTAATTTAGACTAATCTCAGGGGCAGTTTCGTAATTGTAATGATATATTATCCAACCTGGACTGTATTTGCTCCTAAGAGTATGAACTCAGCCGCATCAGCACCCGTCTCAACACCTCCAATGGCAGAAAGGGAATAGTCTTTTTCGCCAAATTCGTTTTTCATCATTTGTGCAATGTTCATCACTTTTGCAAGCGCAATAGGATGGACAGCCTTTGACGAGTATCCACCAGGTGTTGAGTACCTAAAGTGACACATTTTAATGTCTAAAAATTGATAGA